TAATAATAATAATAATAATAATAATAATAATAATAATAATAATAATAATAATAATAATAATAATAATAATAATAATAATAATAATAATAATAATAATAATAATAATAATAATAATAATAATAATAATAATAATAATAATAATAATAATAATAATAATAATAATAATAATAATAATAATAATAATAATAATAATATAAAACCTTATGTTCAACGGACGGTTTTTCGGGTTTTGCAGTTTCGGGTTTTTTGGGGTTTCGGGTTTTTCGGGTTTTTGGGTTTCGGGTTTTTCGGGGTTTTGGGTTTTTCGGGGTTTTGCGGTTTCGGGTTTTTTGGGGTTTCGGGTTTTTCGGGGTTTTGGGTTTCGAGTTTTTCGGGGTTTTGGGTTTTTCGGGGTTTCGGGTTTTCGGGTTTCGATTTTCAGGTTTTGGGTTTTTTTGGGTTTTTGGATTTCGGGTTTCGGGTTTCGGTTTTCGGGTTTCCGGTTTTTCGGGTTTTCAGGTTTCGGGTTTTTGTAGTAATTTTTTTCTAATTTGAACAATTATATTTTTTTCCTAAATGGTTGTTGGCTGAATGATTTCGGAGAAAAGATTTTATTTTTAATTTGTTTTTGTGTTTTGTATTAAATGGGCAAACCCAGTTGTTATATAATATTGCTAAGAGAAAGATATGTCCACGTGTCTATTTGTTAGTGGGATCCGATTATTGTCTTTTATAGGCCCATCCGGTCTGAATGATCACCCATTTTATAAAGTTCTCGAAATAGTAAGATCAATGGTTGATGTGCAATACAAATTAAAACAAAATATATTCCATGTAATTAACAAATTAAGCTAAAATAGGTGAAAAAAGGAATGCCGAAACATCGCTACCATAACCGTTATTATTGCAATTACCATTACCATTACCATTACCGTTACCACTATCATTAACACTACAATTAACATTACAATTACCATTACCATCACCATTACCATTGCTAATATTAATAATAATAATATAGTAATACTAATACTAATATGATAATAATACTATTACTATTAGTAATCCTAATGCGCAGTTAATCCTAATTTCCTAACACTATTGCTAATGCTAACCATAATCCTAATCATAGTACTACACACAATCATAATTCTAATCAAAATCCTAGTACTAATGTTAATCTTAATCTTAATACTAATTTTAATTATAATCGTAATCCTAATAATAATCCGAATCATAATTCTAATCCTTATAGAAATGCAAACATGCTCATGCTAACACTAATTTAAACTATTCCTAATATACTAATGTTGATTCTAATCATAATCCTAACTATAATGCTAGTACTAATACTAATCATAATGATAATCGCAATACTAATATGCTAATGGAAACGCTAATGCTAATCATAATACTAAACTAATACTTATATGCTAATGTTAATGTCAATGCTAATACTAATTATAATATACTAATGCTAATGATAATCGTAATTCTAATTCTACTGCTATTGCTAATACTAATGTTAATCCTATACATAATACTAATGCTGATGCTACTAAACCTAGTACTAATGCTAATGCTAATGTTAATCCTAATCCTACTCCTACACATAATCATAATGTTAATCCAAATCCTAAAGCTAATGCTAATTCTAATTGTAATTATAATGTTAATGCTAATTCTAGGTCTAATACTAATCATAATCATAATTATAATCCAATAAATAGTAGAAATAATCATAATACAAAATTAATACTAATACTAATACTAATACTTTATTCTAAAAAAATACTAACACTAATATTAATACTAATACTAATTCTAATACTCGGCCATGCAATTAAAATTAATGTAACCGATTACTTTTTTTTTTAAATAAATTGATAATTAAGTGGTTAATTATGGAATTTTTTTTTTTTAATTAATGAAAGATTGTAGACTCAATTTCCTCAATTGGATAACTTTGATTGTGCGTACCGTAGTTTTATATATAATGTAGATTTATATTTATACAACCAGACAAAAAAAAAAAAAAAACCAAGGTAATGTATAATTTAAACATAGTTAAAATTATTTAACTTTGGTTTCTCAAATATAAAAAATCAGAGTTCAATTTTATTTTTTGCTTTTGCAAGTGTGTGATGAGTCTTATTCGTCTGACAATAAGTAGTACTTATCTGGCTTCTCCGTCATGCAAAATCATTTTTCATTAATATGAACAATATTATACATTCAAGTGAAGACTGGATCATGTGGTTTGCTATTAACTTCAAGCTTTGCTATACAAATTTGAAGTCGAGATTTTTTATTTTCCTTCTTAAAAAAATGGTTTTATAGTATTTGAATTTCAGCATATTTCTCGGGACTTAAAACAACACCGAAATAATGTGTTTTTTCTATAGTTTCGAGGAGAAAGCTCAAGAACGAATAGTTGTTCGTCGATGTAAAAAGATCTCAAGAATCCAGTTAAAGTGAATTCCAACTCTTTTTCGACCACAATTTATTGCCATTATATGATGAATTATGTTAGCATGTGCATGGCCATATTATGTATGTTTCCAAATGGTTGCATTGTACGCATAGATACTAAAAATTGAGATGTCACCATTTTTGTTAGGCTGCGGCTATATGCAATGCTAATTCCACTTGTGCAAGATCAAATTAAAAAAAGATTCCAAAAGATTCCATTTTATTAAGATGAAATGACAAATATACCCATAAATTAAACTGACTTTTGTTTGCTCATGCAAGACCAAATAACAAATAATGAAAAACAAACAAAGAAAACGTAAAATTAAACACCCCCCCCCCCCCCCCCCTCCCTGTGAAACCCTACCCTACGCCCAAGCTCCGCCGCCGACCGCCGCTCTTGATGTGATGTTCTTGATGTCTTGTACATATTTTTTAAACCTTGGATGAATTTGGACAATAAACTACGTCTTCGCATTCGCCATTGGCTATAAAAAAAAAATTAATATTGAAATAAAAAGTAGAAAAATAGAAATTTAAAAAAAATATGAAACAACTAAATTTCGACATTAAGGTGTCGAATATATGTCCATAAATTTGACACCTTAATGTCGAAATTTAGTATATTTGGACTAATTTATTAACAATTAAATTTCGACACTAAGGTGTTGATTTTGTACTCCAAAATCGACATTTCAATATCGATTTTTACCTGTAAGATTCGACCTGTAGATGTCAACCGCGTATGCGCGAGATTGTTTTTGGAAAAACGATATTCTAGTTAAAAAACACATAAATGCATACTTTCTTGGGGTTTTCCACCGTAGAATCTTCTATTTTTGTGTCTTCTGACTCCATACTTGTCATCTTTGTAAGATTTGTTGAGTTTTGATGATTTTTAATGTTTAGGTTTTGTGGGTTTATGGAGGAGGAAGGAGAAATGTTTTGTGGGTTTTGGAAGATGGAGAA